AGAGAGAGAGAGAGAGAGAGAGAGAGAGAGAGAGAGAGAGAGAGAGAGAGAGAGAGAGAGAGAGAGAGAGAGAGAGAGAGAGAGAGAGCTTTTCTCTCCGAATGTGCCATACTTGTCTTGTTCCTCCCTGATGGCATGTGTTCTTTAAGCTCTTGTAAGTCATTGGTGAACGGATGTACCAATGGGTGTGCTGTTCTGTTCAATGCATTGTGCAGGGTTTAAGCTCTTGTAAGTCATTGGTGAACGCATGTACCAATGGGTGTGGTGTTCTTGTCAATGCATTGTGCAGGGTCCTCATATCTACGAGTTTGGAGATCAGGGTGGTGTTATCATCATGGCCAAGCATCACCTTCAGGGTTCAACCCCTGTGATCAAGTATTCCCTTGATGAAGGATTGACATGGGGAAATGTCTCAACTGGAGAAGAAATCAAGGTCTACAACATCCGAGTGGAGCCGGTGAGCTGTTGGTTCTTCTGCTTTCTTCACAGCTCTCATTATGTGAATTTAAGTGTTGTATGAGGAGAGATTGGTTTAAATTTGTGTGAGTGTTAGCATCCGCATCATTTCATACAGCTCCCATTGTGATGCTGAGATTTCAAGCGTACCTGATTTAATGCTGCATAAGGCATTACTCTACCAACCAGAGGAGTATGGGGTTAATGAGAGGCACACACACACACACACACACACACAATTTTAGGTGTATATGTGCAAGTGTGCCACTTCAGCGGCAGACGGGTGTGTGGGCACTTCGCGCTGAACCACACAAACGTGGCCAACCTTGCATTTTCTATTATATTGTCTACTATACTTTTTCGTTATGGATGGTTTGTTATGATTTGTGTAGGAAATGAGAAAGAATTTGGGGTGATTTAACAACACATTCCAGTCATGCAGGCTATCTGTCTTGGCAGATTTGAGCAATTAGGATCGGGCTCGTACTAGCAAGCTACTCTTTCTCTGTGGATGGATGTGATTTGTTGGTTTGGTTTCTATACATGGCATAATTCTTTGCCTTGCTTTGTAGCATGGGCCGTCTTGGCGATGAAGTAATGCATGTGGGTGGCCACAAGTTTTTTTCTGGGGTGGGAGTTTGGGGTTTTCGCCACAATATCTCTACGAGGAGACTCAGAGAGTGTTTGCTGTGGGTGTCATTCCCGCGGGCTGCTCTTTCGAAGCACATGGAGGAATCGGGTGCCTTCTAGGGTGTTTTAAGCAGTGGTGCTCTTGGTGTCGCGTGGAGAATTTGTGGAATTTGGCATAGTTCTCACAATGGCCTCGCTGTAGCACTTAGGACATCATCCGATTCTGCAGGCTCCGCGGCAGGGGTAGGTTCATGGCATTCTTGGTGTTGCGTACAGGTCCTGCGGTGTATTTTTTATTTGTGGCGGCGTTGTAGGAGACGATTGGCATGCGTGGTCAGTGCTTTATTGTTAGTGGAGCCTTTTGTGTTATATGCTGTTTTCTGGTTTTGTGGGCCGACGTGGACGTCTGGAGGGCTCTCCAAGTTTTTTCGGACCTATGGCGGATGGGGTCGGTGCATTCTCGCTGGTGGAGTCTTCTGTCTTAGGTAAGTTGCTTCTTGCCGTCCACCCTTTTATGGATCAAATTAATATATGTATATATCGTTAAATAGAACTGCCCGGTAAACCGTAGGCAGAGAGGGAGAAGAGGACAACAAACGAGGGGCTGTGACAAACTGTTTCGTCGGAGTTTCACCGACTCATCAGGAGGCTGAACCCTAGACTGTCGGTTCACACCCCATATATATGTATATGTGCAAGTATCCCGCTTCGGCGGCAGACGGGTGTGTGGGCACTTGGCGCTGAACCACACAAACGTGGCCAACCTTGCATTTTCTATTATATTGTCTATCTATACTTCTTTGTTATGGATGGTTTATTATGATATGTGGAGGAAATGAGAGAGAGAATTTTTTTTCACACCTCTTACTGTCAGCTAGTGGCAGAATTGCACCCGGTCTGGCTGGTCAATCAGGAACGAGCATGTGGATCTGCACTTGCAAGCATTACAGCCTCCAGATAACAATCCGGCCGACGCTTCCCCCTCTCTGGACCAGGCTGCGTCCCTTGCCTGTGCAGATCAGACAAATTCTGCTGCTGCTAGTGAGGGGCCTCCTTCAGAGGATGGTGGCTGCACCATGCCATTGTGCCTTCACACTGTCAAAGTTCGGTTAGCATGTACACGGCAGTATCTTCTTTGACTACTATGAAGGGATGGCCACTGCCAGCCTCTGCCATGAAAACTGTGACCCGTTCCACCCCGCCCCCTCTCTCCTTATTGCTTGCCCAATATGCTGTTGTGGCCTTGACATGCCATGCTTGAATAACTGCGAACGTCAGCCTGCTTTCCTACCGGTATGTCAGCAACATGCCATGTGTCGTCAGTGTTGTCAGAAAGCTGTCATGGAGAGAATGTGTCTCTACTTTGCGGACTATCCCCAATGCCATCACCCCCCACATCGTCTCCATTCATGTCCCACACGCAATGTTGGTGTGTGGATTATTCCCGATGCCATCACCCCCCGCGTCGTCTCCATTCATGTTCCACATGCAACGTTGGGCATCCTCCGGCTGCACCTGTAGTTGGTCCCTCTCCATCCTTGCCAGACGAGAAACAGACGCACCAGCCTAGGTTGAGAATAGACTCTTACGTGCACCACCTACAGTGCACCGGACTGAAAGGTGATATCTGCCAGGGCAATCAGTTCGCGACCAGATGTTGCAACGGCTAAACACCCTTACTTTGGAACGGGCCCCGTCATCGCCTGCCCACAGAGAGGAAATATCAGCTGCGCAAACCGAAGAAACTTGCTCAATGCTGCACTGTGATGGCCCACCTGAGATTCGTCTACCATGTGATTCGCATGCTGTGTGATGAGGATAATGAGGGTATCACCCATGCAAGTCATTGCTTTCATACATATGATGACAGTCAACATTGTACTCATGTACGGCACCCTGATGTGGTATGTCCTGGTTGTAGATAGGGCTGAAATGGCAATGTCTGTACAATTGCAGTCGTCATGCCTCTGTGTTCCTAGCATGTGGTAGCCACGTAGCCTGTGACATCTGTCACCGCGCCATTCAATGGAGGAACTGCAACTGCAAGGATTGGATGCAGTGCTTCCACAGTCCACGGTCAGGGTTTAGGGTTCAGCCAATAAAAGTTAATAGGAACAGCCACACTGCTTGAATCAACCAGACTAGAACTGGAGAGCAGGCTCATTTGCTAAAGAGCCTCGAGGATAGCTGACAGCTCGAACAGCTGAGAGGAGGAGGCATATAGGAAGCAGAGGGAGTGTCAAAGGTTCAGTGTTTCTTCGTGCTTTAATTTTCTGGGGTCAGGATATAAAGTGAAACTGGCTAATGCTGCCAGGATAACTCCGGGTGGAATTGTGAGGTCCCCGCCTGGAACTACAGGGACATCCTTAGGCTCAATTGGAGAATGGCAGCAAGACAAGCGACAGACTCGGCATGCGTGAGGACTCAGGAGGTCCGCTCTGAGCTCAGTTCCCCGCAAGTGGGACACAGTAAACAAGCTTCAGGGTAGGGCGATGGATGGGGACGAACGGCCGAGGACAACACAGCGGTACCGCCGTGTGCAAGGGCCGGCATTGGACACTAGGAGGGGCCAGGCAACACCTGGGGTGTCCAGGGTGGCCCTACTGCAGAGGGATAGCCGAAACTCCCCTAGGGTTTAGGGTTTTAGCCGGCTGCTCTGTGTGAGCCGCAGGAGATTACGAGCCAAGCTTGGGGTAGCCAGAAAAAGTTAGTAAGAGCCCTGATTTCTGACGAAGGGAGACTCGAAGAGGAGGATGCTGACTTTTTGCTGAGGTTGCTCTTTCGATTACCAGTTAAGATACACAACTGGGAGGATAAACTCTGCCACTCCTTTGCGCCTCTGTTGCTTTGTTTGTCCAGGTACAACAGTGTGCATCATGTTCTCTGCTATAGAAGAATCCAAGGTAAAGCTGTTCACTTTTGGTCCTAGTCAACGGGGTGGAACAGGGGTTTTGGTGACAATTTACGATACACACACACGGGGATGTCGGCAGCTTGCGCTCACCCACAATCAACGTGGTGAGCCTTGTACATGAGCGGCACAGTAAAAGGGAGCTGCAAGAACAAATGAAAGGGGTACCCCAAAGGAAGCCAAAGCGAACACAACTAAGAAAGAGATTTAAATGCTTCTATTATGCTCCACGTTGCTTGCTATAGAGGAAACTGTTGATTTGTTCAGCACTTGTAAACTGTTATCATCAGCATCATTGCTGGGAAGGACACAAGGTACTCCTGCCGTTTCCAACCTGAGATATACTATCTTTCTGCAGTCATGTCAGTCAATACATACATCGTCTCTGGGAGAAGTTCACCGATTAATCCGACGAAATGAATAGTGTAAAATTATAAATCCGTGGGATGTTGCCTTCCACTTTATTTCTGGGGAACGTGAAAAGGATTAGAAATGCAAGACGGTAGTGAGCATGAAGGAGATGGAGGATGAGGAGTAAGGCGAGGAGGACGCTAATGAAAATGTGATGGTCGAGGGGAGGACGAAGATGGGAACACAAGTGGTGGAGGAAGGTGCGGGATAGGAAGGGGAGAGTGCTACTAGGATCAGAAATCCCGAAACAAAAAAAGAGGTCATGCGGAGACAGGAGATGGGGGACGGAGGAGGAGGAAGCACGGAAGGTGGGGTGGTAATGGATGATGATGAAAGGTGATGAAAGGGGATGAATTGTGAGGGATGGTAATGGAACAGGGGTACCAAGTTCCTTTTTCTGAAACACGGAGTTTCATTTGCCAGTGTGTGTGGAGTATCGTGTTACGACAGTGGTTGTATCGTTGAACTTCTACTTCCATCTTTCACATAGGAGACAGCATAGTTGTGCATGGATCCTATACCCTTAGAGCTTGTTGTGTAAAACATTTTCCCACAGTCTGTTCGGGTTCTTATTCACTGAAGTTGCGGACCTGATAAGGCTGATATTGATGAAACTTGCATGGGTTCCTTTGTTGGGGTCTTGGGTTACAGGACAATGTGGGCAAGAAATTCATTGTGGAAGGTGGTGTGAGTGAACTTTTCGGATTGCTGGAGCAAGCAACGTTGGTAACATTGGACTTCAGCACTGGATATGAGCATTACACTCACTGCACTGAGGCTGACTACGAGACCTGGTCACCGTAAGTTCTCTGCTCGTTAAATCACTGCTGCACACGGACATGCATGTGGGGCAGGCTATTCTTTGCTCGTGTGTGTGTGTGTGTGTGCATGTGTGTGTGTGTGTGTGCGACCGCACCAGTTCCTGACCGTCTGTGGATTTGGTCACACAGTGAAGTGGAGTTTAATCTCGGGTTTAGATGAACGCTCCCTCAATATCAGCTGCTGGTAATGAGATCATTGAGATCAGGTACTTTTTTCTTCGAGTGTTTATGAGAAACTTCAATCTCGTCGGAATTGGTTGCAGGATTCGTTGATTGTCATGAGATGTTAATTGGAGCAATTATGTGACGGCATCTACATGTATATCTACACTGATGTCGAATGTAGAAAGAGCCGGATGTCACGCCTGGTTTTGGGGTTGCGACTAGTTGGAACCAAAAGAGAGAATCGGGAAAAGTGTCTTGCGGGTTGCCGCTCCGCTATGGTTGTGCCAGAATGGTTCTGTGGGTTGCCACCATAGCTGCACCACAATGGTTCGCGGTTAACCATGATATTTGTGCCACAACGGCTTGCTGTGGCAATGCTGCCACTAAAGTTGTGCCATAATGGTTTGCAACTTTGCACTGTTTGCAGGTTACCACTATAGTCGTGTCAAAATGGTTCCGGGGTTGCCACCAAAGTTTTGGCAGGTACTGGACATAGCATAGTACCACCCACTGCACTCAGTCCTCATGGTACTAGCCTCTGCACATACCATAGTACCACCCACTGCACTCAGTCCTCATGGTACTACCCATTGTTCATAGCATAGTACCACCGCACTGCACAGAGCACCCAGCCCGCATGGTACTTCCCACTCTGCATAGCAGCCAGCCTGCACCCTGGTCCCCACCCACTGCACATGTCACCCTGGTGGTAGAGTACCACCCACCACACATAGCACCACCCACCACACCCAGTCCATTTACCCACCCATTGTAAACCCACTGCACCCAATCCACACAGCCCAGCGCATGGAGCACTGCCCATCCCAGACTGTACCACCCCGTGTACATAGCAGCCAGCGCTCACATAGTAGCATCTGTGCACAGAGCAGCGAGTTCTAGATGGCAGCTTTGTTCTGTATAACAACTGGTTCTACATACCAGCCAGTTCGTCATACCAAGTGCATAGCAGCCAGAGCAGGATTCGGCTTTCTTTTCTCCTGGCTTCTCTACACGTCTATGCCCCCTCTGTCTACATGTGGAGCCATTGTGGGCAGCTTACTTGTGGTTTCAAAAGATCGAATAGTATTCCTGTGCGTTGAAATTGATGTAAAACCACATGTACATCTGAATTGCCACATGACTTATTGAACAGTTGATGTCTGATTCTCTGTATAGGCCAGTCTTGGAGGTCTGAAGTACACTTTCCAATCCATGATTGGCTGTAGCTATGTTTTGGTTGTATATCAATTCATCTGGATGTCGTAGTATATTAGCATACTTGCGGCGCATCTCATGCGCGGGGGCGCGGCACATGCGGCGCAAAGCGCACGCGCATGAGATGCGCCGCACGTGATGCGGCGCATCAAAAAAATAAAAAAAAAAAAAAAAATTGAAAGTTCAGAGTGGGGTGGCCAAGCACTCCCCTCACTTCTAAAAATTAGAAAGCAAGAGGGAGAAAAGTTCGGGCCACGCGATACCCCGAAACTGTTGTCACTCGTCTATACATGCGAGTATTCATTTCCTAATTGTGTCCAGCCTCTTTTTCGAAGGGCCCTTATAGCGAATTAGCTAGGACCCTACGTGCAGCTGAGGCGAACTTCAAACTTCCAGTCACCAGCGTGAGCAGAGAATATATACTCTGGATTCGAATTCAGGCATGTGCATCTCGGATTCTCGGTTATGGGTCACTATTTCTTTTGTTTTCAAGTTTTCCTTTTCTCAGGAATACGTGCATTGGCCCTAAGGGCCGTTAGTCACCACATACACAAAAGACAAAACATATGGCAGTGTATTGTTCCACATTCTGCGGTAGATTTTTTGTAAGTTTGCAAATTTGCACATCACGAGTAGTGCAGCCAAGCCCTGAGAATCACGTGCAGACTCTGCAGACCAACACTGCCTAGCTACATGAGCAACCCATAACTGCTGAAACACAGACCTGAACTTCAATCCTGAGGATATATTGGGCCAGCTCGTGCTCTACTTCACA